GGCCGGCCATGCGAGTGCTGCTCGGCAGGCGTCGCGGTGGCGGTGCCGCTCACACACGCACACACACACACACACAGCGCCGCGTTGCTCTGACACACACTAATGAACGGCTGCCGCCACTGACCAGAGCCGACGCCGACTTCTCCTTCCCCCTTTTCAAAAGTTTTGCAGCCGCAGCAGCAGCAGCAGAGGCGCGGTTCTTCACAGCACTCAAAGGTACCTCCTCCGGCCCATCAGTACCTTTGGTTGACGCGGCCCCCCTAGCGCGACCCAGCGGAAGGAGAGCCAAGAGTGCAACATTGGAAAATGAACATGATTTATTACCTTTACAGCCCTGACCCTGAATGTATTCAAAACAAATTCTCGATGCCTTTGTTTGCAAAGAGATTTCACTGTCAACACCCCTAAAAAATTACCAAGTAACACCTTCTGTTTTTTCAGTGAAACGATTGCCATCGCAGCAGGGGGTATGCCGCCCGCAAACTGCGGCGAACGACACCACACCGATGAAACCTCGGCAGAGACCACGTATACGAGCCTTCAGGTTTGTTACGACAGTAACACCTAAAGGCGCGGTAGAATGCTCAAAGCGGACGTTCGTGCCTTAGGACGCCACTCTCTCTATCTCAATGCTTTTGTAAAGCGGTTAGGGATGTGGAAAATGTTTCCGAAGCTGTCGCGCGGCCACCACCACCACCACAGCCCGGCCGTAAGCCTCGGAGTGTTAAAATCTCGCGCGTCAGATCAAAATCCCGCTGCTCCTCCGCGCTTGTTCCTCGCCTCGCTCACTGCAGGAGTCCCGCAGGCCGCTGACATTATGGTTATTATAGTACACCGCAGCGGAAGTACTCGCACATGCTTCTAAAAGGCGCTGCACTGCCCGCCCTTTCCCGCTCCGACGGAGCGAGAGGAGAGAGAGAGAGAGAGAGAGAGAGAGAGAGAGACGAAGAAAGAAGAAAGGAGCAGCCCTGCCCCTGCCACGTGCCCGTGTGTCAAGTGCATCGTACAAGTCGTAGCGGCCCGACCCCGACACCGCTCGTCCCCCTTTATTTTTACTGACGTATGTCTCAATTGGTCAACTACCGGTGAACACTGTTGCATGCGAGGTTGCATGTGTTTATCACTGCGTTTGTTTTAGCACAAATTCAAGTTACTAAAAAGATTTTTTCTTGGCGAGCCGCGAGACCTCTGTTGGCTCAAAAATGTGGATCAATAGCCCGATTCGTTCAATTTTTTCCACCAAGGAACGATACCAAGCAGCCATATATACTGGTCCCAAACGGTGTATGCATTTCTATGGGGCATCTAGTGATGCCAAAATTTAAGTGAATCCCGTCCATTGCAACTGCGATCATGTCCACGAGTGAAGCACTGCTTGATGTCCGCAATGAGAAATAGGATTTCAAAGGGATCCATAAGCGCAAACACTAGTATTATACACACTACTAGTCCAGTGCTTTCCAGCCAACCCTTTGAGATGTCAGCAGTTCAGTTTTCAGAGCGGAAGTGAGCACAATCCCCACCGGCCCCCGGGGGGCGTGCGACACGCACCCCCGGCTCGTGCTCTGCGAGCGCGCCCTGGAGCCCCCTGGAGCCCCTGGAGGTTCTCCAGTAAAGTGCCTTAGCATACAATAAGCGGGCCGCAGCGAGGCGTGTGGTTCTGCGGAGAGATGCCAGAGATAGCGAACCAGAGCGGAGCCGAGCGCGGCAGAGAGGTTTTTTTTCTCTCTTGCTAAATATTAAAGTTAGAATGACCGCGCTCGCGTGGGCCTGTTGATGATAAGTGTCGGGTGCCGGCTACGGTTGTTGGGATTTTGCGGACGAAAACTGTCAGTACTGTACAAGATTGAGAGGGAAATTTGTTGGCATGAGGCAAATTCTGAGTTAATTTTCATAATGAAGAAATGATATCAATCGTCAAGAAAATGATTTTCAACTATGGGGAAAAGGGGGGGGGGAGTACTTTTGAGTTGGTTGGATCATGACAAATGTTGTTCTCTCCCTCCTGGCGCCTGATGTCTCAAAAAATATCATAGCTTCGTGATAAATCTTAACCCCCACTCCCCACTTCTTGGACGGGGGTAGTACCATGACGGCACCCATAATCTTACCCCTGGTGAAGTAGTCCGCAGGGGTGTAGTGGGGCCCGGGCACGCGTGGCTGGCTCGCGCACGGCAAACACGGCAGAGGCAGGGGGTGGGGCGGGGTGGGGTGGGAGCGGGCGGGGCACGCACGGCTCACGGCTCATAGCAGTGCGCATCACGCTTTGAAATCTCGGCAGCAGTCAGTCGACTTCCAGAAAATGAGGCCCCGACATGGTCGGTGCGCAGGCTGCGCAGGTGACCCCTCCGGCACGAGGCGCACGCCGCGCCACGCCACTGATGACAGGGCCTTACGCCTGCCTGCCTCGCACACGCATTAAAACAAGGCTGCGGGGGCCGGGGCTGGGAGAATAAACTGTATTAAGAAAAGGGTCGCGATGAAAAATAACACAGAGTGTGGGGAAAATGCAAGCAGAACACGCCGCACAACGGAGAACAAAAAGAGAGAGAACAAGACTAAAAACACGAGGGTGTGTGCACTTTTAAAATGGCATACTGCTGCGCTTCTCTAGAAGTCACAGGACGTAGACTAGAAGCAATGAGCGCAGGTACCTGCTAGCTGCTACCCTCACAAAAATAATTAACAAACATCTTCCCCCGCCCTCATGTGCACGTGCTGTGACGCCCCTCCTTATGTATTCCAAAACAAGTCGAGGGGGACCGGAGAGCGAGCGAGCGAGCGAGCGCACAGGTACCTAGAGAGAGACGTTTTGATTTAGTCGTTATCGGGACACCGCATACGGAATGCCCCACGCCTGCACAGGGTTCTCCCCTTCCCCTCCCCCCTTTCTCTCTCTGGTCTAACTAGAGACCACATCCGAATTGAATAAACCCTCAAGAATAACCAAATTCGCCTTCACATTGGACTGTTATACCGGGCGCGGGAGCGCAGCGGAAGCGGGTGAAACGTGTTATGCTGCACGGGAGATGCCCCGTCGGACACCGCCTGGGCACCTCCGGGCACCTCCGGGCACCTCCGGGCACCTCCAGGCACCACCCGGGCCGGCGGGAGGTTGGACTGGCGCTGCTAGCACCGCAATCCTGTGGTCGAGCGCGCCGGCCGCCAGCCTGCGCCAGCTCTCCTCTAGGCCCCCGGCTCGCACCACTCGTCTGCAGTTGCTTTTGGAAAAGTCTACAAAGCATTGCTATGTATTACAAAAAAATAAATAATAGGAGGCATTGTAACACAAGGTAGGCTTCGTCATAACAGAGCATTGGTATGATGCTTCCGAATTTTTGGTACGTTACAAAGTACAACTTTCAACAGTGTGACAATAGACGATCATTGATGATTGCTGATATATCAGCATACAGTGTACACTGTTGAGTTTTCAGAGTGCATTAGCAATTCGTAAAAAATGGCCATAGAAAAACAAGCAATTCAATGTGTCGATTGAATTAACAGATAAATGTTTCAATAAGCTGTCGTACGGTTACAACAGAGTAAATAAGTCAGATCACCAGCAGCAGGTTGGCGTACACTTGGATTTCCACCAGTATACCTTTGAGCCCTAAAATTCTGTGGAATAATTTTCTTCTAGTGTTTCTCATGCATTTTATAATTAACTTAGACAACGTCTTGATGAAATATGGCTTTGCTATTTTTCGCCAAAAGGTTCATCTTCAGAAAAATGGGCTGCAAAAGAATCCTGTGGTTAGTGCTGCTTTATGCGCCTTCCAGAGAAATGGAATTATTATTATTTTACTGTTTAGCACTTGGAGCACACAAGGGGAACATCACGAAAAAAAAGAACAAAAAGTGCACCTAGCCGTCACTTTAAAGAGTTACAAGACAACAAAAATGAGTGAGACAACTACACTGCAACAAGGGCTGGGGAGAACAGATTTCCAACGTTAAGTATACAAGTATTTTCTTCGACACGACTGTTAAATAATTTGCATTGCAATGCAAACGAACAGTTTAAGGTGAGGTGTGGGTGAAAATTTTGAAGCTGTTAAACAAAATCATATTTAGAGGTGCAAATGTTAAAAAAACGCTCTAGTTTTGTTGGTGCTATTTTTATTAAGATTTTAAGACCAGTTCCATGCCCGTACGAAAAAGTTTAGTCCGGCATCAGTCCGTTTTCGGTCCGGAAAGAGTCCGGCTGGACAGTCCGGCATCAGTCCGCCAAAGCGCGCGGACTAGTCCGCGAAAAAGGCCAGAACGACCAAAAAACGACCTATTTGCCGGACTAGTCCGGCTGGAACTAGTCCGCATTTGATCCGCACCGGACTGATCGCGGACTGGTCCGCACGCCGAGAGCAGACCGAAAGCGGACCAGTCCGGCACAGTCGAACTGCGCCCCCCCCCCCTTTTCTTTCCAAAACAAAATAATACCCCCTGCCCCCCTCAAAAAAAGGGGGCATTTGTTTCAAAAAAGGACTAGAGGACATTATTGGTACAACAAGCAAATGAGATGAGAATTCACGTGTTTATTCAATTCAAAAGTCAGATAAAACATCAGTCAGATAAAACATCAGTCAGATAAAACATCAGATACAAAATGATGAAACTATGTAATTATGTACAGATTAATTAAAGGGGATTTTTTAGGTACAGTTAATTAGAGAGCAGTAAGGCAAGGAATATCAGAGTTCTGGTTGAACCAACTAGGTTCAGCAGGTTGAGGAGATAGACCTAAACAACAGAAATTATAAATTAGATGCCTGCTATGTGCATTAAAGCTTCTTGAACTTAATTGAAAATATCATACCTTGGTGAGGGGGGTAGTAACCAGGATAATTCTGGTTATAACCTGGATAATGTTGGGCACCATGATGCCAATCAGATCCAGATGGAGTGCTCTGATGCGGGGAATATGAGTTGCTGTTGGTGTTCACCAAACTGGAGGGAGCCAGAGGCGAGTTGCTGACCTGGGGCTGGTTGATGTTGACCAAATTGGAGGAAGCCAGAGGGGAGGCTGGTAGCTGAGCAGATTCAAGCTGAAGCCTGAGTGGGCTTGAGTTCAGAAGCTGCTCCTTCGCAGGAGTGCGCTTTGAACCCCTCACCCTGTGTATCGCTGACCTCTGCTTATTGATAATCCTGTTGAAATTGGCTTCATTCAGGACTGGATAAGCTTCACCTTTGTTGCGATTCACAAATGCTGAAATGATCAAAGAAACAAATCAGTCCCAAGCCAACACTTATTAAAATTTGGTGTAAACAAAGAAACTAGACATACCTCGCACAGCATCTCGAATTCTCTTTGGAATTCCTAATGTCCCTTGCTTCGAACCCCTGGCTGTTACTGCTTGCCTCTCGAGAAGATCCCGACCATATAAGGAAACTAATGTGGCCCGTGTCATCTTTGCAGGGTCTCCTCGATACTCTGACTTAATAGCATTCTTATCTGCATTAGTGATGAATACTTTAGACCCCTTGGTGACCTCACACTGCAACAAAAATATTCAGTTTAGTTCACTTAATAACATAGATACTAATTTATTCAGAAATTTACTCACACAAGCTCGGTCTGAGGGAATAGGTCGCAGCTCAGCAAATTTAGTGCCCACTCCAGCTGATATACTAGCAAAATTAGCTAATGTCCTGACAAACAGAGCTCCAGACTGCGTATCTAAATAGAAAGACAAAGGGACTTAGAAAATTTGGCAATAGAATTAGATATTTAAAATGCAATTATACTTACAAGCTTTCCTGAGGGCTACACAGTGCTGGCAGCAGCCATTGATAGGCCCCTCTGTGCTGTCCATGTTCTCTTCATCACTGTAGAAGAGCGCTGCAGATTCATCAGTCTCATCATTAGATTCGGCTTCATCATCTGAAGCAAACAATTCTCTCCTACTGATGGGTTCTGCAGCTGCTCTATCCAAGGTATCCTGTGAAGTTATAAAGGATTAAATGTTGTTTAGAATTATGCACCTTTCTACAGTAAGCAATATGTTTTTCACAATACAACAAACATACCTGTGCATCACGATGAGCCTGGGAAGCTAATTTCTTCTCTCCTTCAATCTTCTTCTTTTTACTAAGCTGTTGACCCGAAGGTTTCTTTCTTTCACCTAAGGCGAAGGCCACCTGATTATTTGTAGCAGTCCCATCCAAAACAACGGCTTTCCTCGATCGAGACTTCCTTTGGCCAGGAACATTCTGAGCAACACGGTCCCTGACAATAATCTCAATCTCATCTAAAACTTTCGACTCTTCCTCTTGCAGTTTCAGTTCATCACCTGAAACCAACCAGAACAATAAACAATGATTAAAGAAATGCAAAGGAAATTTAGATCTGCTCTGCTGCCAGGAACTGTCATGATCAACAAGTCCGACCTGTGCGTTGGCTACGCTCAGTGCCACTTGCGTTTTTCAGTGTGTTCAATATATATGGTCGTACAATAGAAAACATTTGACATTTGAGACGCAAAAGCATTAACTTGAGATATGGCAATCAGACAGGCAACACGCTGTTGAGGTTACACCTTCGAGGTTAGGTTAAGACGGTCTTACGTTAAAAGAATGTGTCACAATTTAAGGTTAAGATCACGTGGAGAGAGCAAGTTAATTACACAAAGAGGGGGGTGAGCAACACACTAGCCTATAACACAAACAGTGCTGATAATACTTACTAGAAATGAACTTCACAACAACCCGCTGGATCTTGTTGCCACTTTTTACGGTGGAACAAGCGCCGTGATATCTGTCCTCGTCGTTAATGACGCTCAGATCCTCGATGCTGACTTGCTCCGTGTCCGACCATAGTAATACAGCCTTCGTTTTACCCATTATCAAATATAACAGGAAAAGAAGCTGAAAGGCGACACCAACACTACTCAAGGCGTGTCCCTAAACCCACAAACTCGTTGCGTTTGACAGCCAAACAGCCTGTTCCGAGATATCAACGATCAGTCCTACCCACCAAGCCTAATCCCCTCCTAACCTCCTCGAATCGAAAACCGAGAAAACTTTGAACACTTTGCGCTCTCGCGACACTTTCAGGTCGGTCGTCCTAACGAAGTAGTCTGGCCACTACACACTACGGCTTCGTGCTGCGTGCTGTTCAGCTGATCAGCTGTTTGAGCCTTTTATCTTCTGCTGGGCAAGGTCAAGGTCTGCAAGCTAAGTTTGGCCAACCGTTGTACAGAAGTTGAACAACCCACTGTTCGACATAAGCAGTAAGAGAAGAGTTGGTACCAAAATGTTCTGAAACATTTACTATAAATAAATAAACAAAAGAAAAGCAAAATTTTTCAAAATTTGATCGCCGAGGTTGTGTAGGTTGTGTTGGCTACACCTTCTGCATTGGGCATTTGGGCGCGTTGTTTGCAGCTGTTTGTTTGGCGGTCCTCGGAGTAGAGATGATACAACAAAATCAACAATAATTCGAATCACATGCGAACAAGTCACATTCTCAGGTTAGTATTGTGCGCGATTTTTTTTAAAACGCCAAGTAAAGAGGCTGTCAGTGAGTGTTAATCGTGCTTTGTTTGGCTCCAGGTTTATATAGAGTCAGACTTCTTGCCACACTTGTTCTCAAACTAAAAGTCATAATGGACAGAGATAGACATCTGGCTCGTAGACGGGCCAAATATCGTAAGCTCAATAACGGAGCTATTTTGGAACTTAACAACATCTCCAGCTCAGAAGACGAAGCACAGCCAGGTTTGAAAACTCACTTCATTTCACATCGAGGGGTGGATAACTCACGCTAATTCAGTAAAATAAAATCGCAATAATTCAAACTAATTCAAAACCAATTCAACCAATTCAGTCCAATTCAAATTCAATTCAAGCCAGTTCAAGTTAATTCAAATTCAATTCTTGAAATTTGTACACCCAATTCAGGAGTTATCCACCCCTCGTTTCACATCGTGTTATTGAACATTATAACTTGCATGTTTGTTTTACTTCCTACTAGGTCATTTTGAAAGTGATGATAGTGACACGGATGAAGACCATGTTGAAAATAACAGTGATGGTGACACTGCAAATGAATATGAAGCCTCAGACATTTCAAATGAAAGCGAGGTTGATCTCAACAACAGAGATGAAAGGGATATTGATAATGATGATGATGATGAAAACGACAACGACTTTCAAAATGAGTCTCTAGGTATGTGCTTGTGCTAATGTTTGACATTCTGATTGTGTATTTTCCAGAAATTCATTTTATACTTTATTTTGTTGTGATAGATGTGGATTATGATAGTGAAAGCAGTGAAGGATCTGGCGCTGATGAGAGCCAAGAAAGTGATGGCAATAATGACTCTGATGATGGTGATTCCTTTGAAGAATCTGAAGCCGATGAAGATGATGATGATGACGATGATGGTGATGTTGAAGGGCAAGAGCCAATTTATCCCGGGGCATCAATCACCTTACATGAAAGCTTATTAGCCATCTTTACTGTAATGTCTAACTGTCATCTGCCCGGCAACGTAGTAGCTCATATTTTAAAACTTATTGCCTTGCACTGTCCGGACAACAGCAGAGTAAAGAAAACTCTGTACACATTTAAGAAATATTTTGCTAAAATAGGACAAACACTTATGGTATTTCATTATTTTTGTGCTGATTGCATTTATCCCCTCCAAAGTAAGTTATCTGAATGCCAAAAGTGTAGGAAAAGGGACAATGCATCTTACTTTTTGGAATTGCCTTTATTGAACCAGCTTCAGAATCTATTCAAACGAGATAAGTTTTATGAAAATTTGCAGTTTCGGTTTAAACCTGACAGGAAACGCTGCAGTGAGAATATTGAAGACATTTATGATGGTAGAGTTTACAAAGAAGAAGTTGAAAAGGGATTCTTGAGTGACCCATCAAATATATCTTTTATGTGGTATTCTGATGGTGTCAGTATCTTTAAATCATCATCGTTTTCAATCTGGCCTCTATGCCTTGTAGTGAATGAGCTGCCTTACAAACTCAGAACTTTACCGGAAAATATTTTACTTGTTGGGCTGTGGTTTGGAAAGCACAAACCAAACCCAAATATTTTTTTGAGACCTTTGCACAAGACCATGAACAATTTTGAAAAGAATGGCCTTACTTTCAAGCTGCCCGACAACTCTACAATTCTTGTGAAAGGAAAAGTTATTTGTGGAACTTGTGACCTCCCAGCTAAAAGTAAATTTCTACAATTCAAGCAATTCAACTCCTATTATGGGTGTCCAAAATGCCTAAGTGAGGGAGCTAGGGCTCCAACAGGAAAAACTACAGTACAAGTCTATCCTTTCACTCCAAATATCGAGAAAAGGACTCATCAAGAAACCGTACAAACTGCTCGACTTGCTCTGGAAGCTCGAAGGACAAATAAGGATGCATCCATTCTGGGCATTAAAGGACCTACTCTCTTAGCTAAGATTGTACCAGATCTGATACGCTGCACTGCAATTGACATCATGCATGGAGTTGCTTTGGGCCTTTGCAAATTACTGCTTCATCTTTGGTTTGCTTCTAAATTTTCAAACATGGAATGGAGTGTGCATCATCTCTTTGATTTGGCTGATGAAAAGTTGCGAAAATTTAAGGCGCCTAGCTTTTCTCAAAGAGCCCCTCGGTCTCTTAAAGAAATGAAATTTTGGAAGGCATCGGAGTACAAGATGTTTTTAATGTATTACTCTGTACCAATTATGAAGAACATACTAGATGAAGTTTACTTGAAGCATCATTGTCTCCTTGTGTCAGCTCTGTCTTTACTATCTCAAGACAGTATATCTCTCTCTCAAGTACAAGCTGCATCTGCTATGTTACAGTCATATGTGTCAGACTTTCCAAGACTGTACCACATTAGATACTTAGGTATAAATGTGCACCAACTGATTCACCTGCCTGATGAGGTTATTAACGTAGGACCCCTGTGGGTATACAGTTGTTTTTTCCTTGAAAACTTCAATGGAAAGATCAACAAATTCTTTCACGGGACACAATGTGTTGCATTGCAAATTTGCTCTGCTGCCTCTATGTTCATGCAGATACCAATCTTTAAAAGAAGATTACAACCTGATTCACAGATAAGTAATTTCTTGAGTTCAGTTGAAAATAGTTCCAAGCCTTTTAGGATTGCTGATGTAATAGACAACTCTACTTACGCTGTGGGCTCCTACTCGTATGAATATGAAACTGTTCGAGCCTCTGCGCTCACTGTCAGAAATTTTTTAAACGCCCAGCAAGGATCATGTGCTGTCTTTTATCGATTGAAAAAACACGGAGTCATGTACTTTTCAGCAGAGTATGGGCGCTAATCAAACAGAAGAGAATCAAGTTATGTTTTATTTGAAAATGACAACTCCCCTAAATTGGGTCAGGTTTTAAGATTTGCCAAGTGGTCGGAATGCAGAGATATATGTGACATTGGATGTCAAGACTGCCCTTCTACCTATTTGGCCATAATTAAAATATTTAATCGTCAACATTGGTTCCTTCATGATATGGGTCATGTCAGACTTCCCTACATGGCCAAATGTGTTCCAACTAATGAAGTTATTGCAGTTGGAGTGCAGTCCATCAAACACCTGTGCTTTTTTATGGAAGCAAATGATGAAATGTATATTGCATACCCTGTAAATAGACTTGAAGTAGAATAATGTGAGGAATACTTAAAATTAAGAACAAATCAGGAAGATCTTTAATTTGAGGAGAAATTTTTATTTACTGAAATACCATTAAACTGTAAACAAACATCTTTATCAATTTACAACATTCTTCTTAGTTTACCTCATTTTATTGTTTGCAGACTATTTTTGCATACTAGTTTCTCTTTTAAGATTTAAAGAAAAGTGTGTGTGTTTTAACCTGCTGATTAGTCAGTGACAGTCCACCCTACATGTTCACACAGTGTAATAAATTACCAGACCATTTAGTAGTGATTTACTGTTGTAATTTTTAAAAATGTGGTATGGAATAAATAAGGGAAAGTATTGAACTTGTGTGGAAAGTCAATTCAGCCTGCTTACCTGTCCCCAATTCATATCAAGTTAATCAGAAAAATATGTATAAAACATTAGAAAACATGAAACTGCTGTTGCAAGCTAGCCCTCATCCTTCAAGGGGCCCCACAACAAAGTTCCACCGTGTGACGCAAAAGGCCTTTACCGGTATAGCTGGGCAAAAACCGTTCTGCCCCCAACTTCACATCTGCTTGGCGGGTTGGCCTACCCAGCGCGCCACAGGCGGCTCGAGTGGCGACACCGTCCCGGACTATTCGCGTACAAGTCCGTCATGGGGCGGACTGAAAACGACCTAGTCCGTCACGGGGCGGACTGAAAGCGACCTAGTCCGCTGAGGACGGACTGTCCGCGGACTGGTCCGGCATCGCGCCTCGCCGCTGCGACCTCAAAGCGGACTGGTCCGCATGCCCGGGGGTACTAAAAGCGGACTAGTCCGGTGCACGACGGATCGAACGCGGACTAGTCCACAGGGGTGCGGACTCTTTCCGGACCGAAAACGGACTGATGCCGGACTAAACTTTTTCGTACGGGTGTCGCTCAGGCGACACATAATGCGCAAGTGATTTTTCAAAGATGATTTAATAATTCATCTTTGAAAAATCACTTGCGCATTCTATGTCTACTGAGCGCTACGAAACTTGCAAACTTGCAAGTAAATTAGGATGAAAATAGGAAGTCAGTGTGTGCATCTCGGCAACTTGTAGAGCGCAGGCTTGAACTATCGACATGACACTTCACATCGCTTCCACCACCCTCCACAGCTACACAGGTAGCGCTAGAAACCAAGGAGGCTTACAGATGCTCTAGCACAGTCAAGGCTTGCCCTTTTCTAGCCCGCACCATTCCTCTTGTTTTTCAGCCCTCTGTACATCTAGGCCGCCTGCAGCTCCATCTTTGCTTTGGCCGCAGAGACGCGCAAAGCAAGTAGGATTTATGGTCGGGTCGGACTCCGTTAGACCAAAGGCAAGAACAGGGCACATCCAGCCGCGCCGAGGCTAAAGGCACGTGCAAAGGGCGGCGGCGCGAGTCCCCCCTCCCCTCAACGTTTATCATTTCTTGCTTTTTATTTGGCATCGCGCCGTGATATTGATGTGCTGCTGCTATGATTGAAGGGATCGCGCCACGGCGTGCGAGAGAGAGAGAGAGAGAGAGAGAGAGAGAGAGAGAGAGAGAGAGAGAGAGAGAGGTGGGGGGAGGAAGGGAATCAGAAAGTATGCAGATTGATACATACAATGACTCGGAGTGGGGTGCAACGTGTACTTGGTTCAGAATTTAGAGGAATGATATCTGAATATATTTGCCTTGAGACGTAGGCTAAATTGAAACATAGCTCGATAATAAACGATAAGTTAAAGCAAAAATAAAATTAAAAGCCACTGTTAAAAGCATACAGTGATTCTCACCGTAAGCTACAGTTAAAGCCTGCAGCACTGTAGCTTACGGCGAGATTCACCGTAGCTTACGGTGAGATTCACTGTAGCTGGCAGTGAAATTCACCGGAGCTTACAGGTAAAATCACCGTAAGCTACAATGCTGCAGGCTTTCACTGTAGCTTACGGTGAAAATCACTGTAAGCTTTTAACAGTGAGAGGTTTAATTTTTAAGTTTGATGCTTAGAGGACACATTTTGTTTTAAGGTACAGTTGTGACAGAGAGAGATGGATTTCCAGTTGTTCTCTAGGAGTCTGTAGAGAGGGTGGTGCATCCAAAGATGCGTTCAACAGTGCGGTCTTGTGCCGGGACCTGCAGACTAGTCGGTGCAAAGGAAGACGGGAGAGGAAGCGAGGGGCAGCAGCAGCAGGAGGAGGAGGGCGGGAGACGTGGCAGTCTTTTGTTCAAGCCGTTCGGTCCGCCCGTTCGGTTCGGTTTCATTTCCTTCGGACATCCTGCCCTCCACAAAAGCAGTGCGGTTGTCGCCGCGATTGGTTCTGGCGGAGGCGCTCGAAGCCCTCCTCATCGCTTCGGCGCCCTCCTTCCTGCTGCCCCTCATCGCGCCCGCGGTCTGGATCCCCTCTCCCCCGCCCCCAGCTACCTTTACTTAGTTTTTTGGGTCTTTCTTTTCGACGCGACAGTGGCGGACAGCAGACTAATAGCAGTACGCCCCCGCCTCGGCGCGGACAGCGTGGGAACACTAACAGGACCATCTCCGCTCCGCGCCACGCCGCGCCACGCCACCCACCGCACTGGGTACCTCGGAGGTACGTCTTGGCACCCGGAGTCGTGCAGAGCGCATCCGAGCAGCGTTGCCACATTTTCCCCTTACCAAATTCTTTCATTCCAAACGACGGACAGACGGACGAACGGGAGGGAGAGAGAGAGAGGAGAAAGGGGGAGGGGGCAAGAGAGGAAAGAAATGGATACAAACCGTCAAAAGATAGATATGAAAGATGTTTTAGCTCAAAACGTTTAAGCGAAATAAGAAAACATTTCGGAATTGGCACATTATAAAGCAATTTGAGTCCCATAGGAAAACTCTGCAACCCATATTGTAACTATCGTTGCCTCTTACAGAGCCTGATGGCAGCAGGGCAGGTCATCAATAAGTTGTCGGATGTTTGAAAAGCTCACGAAACGCCTAGCGGGGCGGAGCGAGGCGCGGCGGCGGGGCGGCAGGTGGCGGCGGCGCGGCGCTCAAGCGAGAAGCAGGCAGGGCTGACTGGAATCAATTTTCGTCACCTAGCGAGTCATCGCCAACAACAGGCGTTCTGCTTTGGCGGGTCGCCGTAACAGTCAAAGTCATTTGTCCGCTCACCAGCGCGCTCACCGGTGCCCACCAGCGACCAACGCGCCGACTCACCAGTCTAGTCTAGTGTGTTGGACTCTGATAGTCTGCAGCAAATAAGCTCAGCTATTCTTGGCTTACACGAAGCCGTCATACTTCTAGCTGCAAGGATTTGAGATGTGCGCTCGCAGCCCGCCTAACTGCGGCAGTTAGACTGTACGGCACGCACGCATGCGGCCCGCTTTTGCCAATCTTCTCTGGCCCTGACCGCGCCCTGAAGGCATTACAGCCGCCCACACTCAAAACGCCACGGCTCCTCTGCTTGTCAAAATTTTGTCATCTTTCTCGGCCTGCCAAATTTAAGGTGTTTTTCAGAGACTGACAATTTTTAGGCTCTTTTGGACTTCCTTAGAATGGCAAAACTTTGCGTTCAAAGAAGGCAAATAGAGGCAAAAAAGAAGCGAAAAGTTTGTCGGTCTCCGAAAGAATGCTATATTCAGAACGGACTGCCAATCTTTTGGCAACATCGACACGAATCAGCCATATTGAAAGAGTGACTACAAGTGACGACTTTGTTTCGCACCAAGACTTGCAGAGTCCTGCGCTCTCTCCGCTCACCGCGCCACGCTCTGCGCTCACCGACACCAAGCCCGCTCTGCTCTGCAGCGCGCACGCCGCAACCAATGATCCGTGGACAGAGGTCGAACCAATCAGGCCGTTCCACCGCGGGGGCAGCGAGCGGCAGCGGCGCGCAGGGCACTTTTACCCAATCCGTCACAAAACTCTACCGCGACTTCGAAACGGCGCAAAATGAGTCTCTATCTCTCTCTCTCTCAAGTGCGTGCCGATCTGCCGCCCATCCCCCCGTCGCTCGCTTCCGCTACTTTCGCTAAAAAGCGTCGCGTCGGCGCCGCCGCCGGTACGAGCGCGGCGTCGGACCCCTCCTCGTTCGCCGAGCGACGCGCAGCACACAGACCAGAGCCCCGCCGAGAGAGGCGCTTTTATTTATCGACACTTTCCATGGCGTGCCCGGGACGGGCGTTAACGAGGCTTTACGAGCGTCAAAACGGTGCGTATACCGACCGGGAGGGCCGCCGTTGCCGGGCTCGTGCGCGAGGGGTCGGGTGCGCCCGTTTGATAAACTGGGCGTGCACTGCACCCTGGGCGCACCTTGGCCGAGCCGCTCGCGCGTCTTCAGCGGCTCGGCCAGGTTTCATGGCACGGCGAGAGCGGCACCGACGTGGGGACGAAATTCATTAGGTGTATCACAGGCGGGAAGTAGCCCGGTCGGCTTACTCGCTCACTCTGGTCGTATAAAGACATTAATGTCTAAATCTTTTAAGATTTGGCGCCACATTGATTTTGGTTGGTCTCTTTCTTTACATTTTTCGAGAAAACGGAAGTGTTAGTTTGAGAAAGTCCTCAATCCTTGTATGCTCAAAATCGGGAAACAACATTTTTGTGGGTGTACCTCTTACCTATAACCTCCCCGCTTCGCAGTCATAAACACGGAGCTTATTAGCGTGCGGCAGCTACGCACGTACTCCCCCCCCCCTTTTCCCCCTGACTCTCTTCCTTCCCCTTACGTCTCCCTTTCCCTACCCGCTCTAATGCGAAAAATAATGTCCCGTTCGAGTACCTATGCCGTCTCTGCATCTGAGTAACTCAATCGCTTCGCTCCCGGGCCGGCGGCAGGGGCGAGCTGGGCCGCCCGCCCCGCGCGTGTGTCGGGCGGGTCTGCCTACCCGGCCGGCCGGCAGGCTGACGCAGCACAGTGGAGGCCCGCACGTTCATGGCATTCGTTGGCTGATAATCAAACTACGACGACTTGACAATTTTAACATGTTGAGCCCCACTGCCTGGGCTCATAGTGGCCGTGCCTTTTCTAGAAAACGCCACCCCGCGACCTGGGACTCTCTGGGACTCAAAGTGTGAAATGTACAACCGGTTTAACAGTTACTATAAAGAAAGAGTTCGAGAGTGCTGGGCATACTTTTTTAGCTCGGCTGTCAAGCTTTAGATTTTGTGTGTTTTTTTCCAACTTTAGATTATGTATAACTTTTTAGACGTTTGCAAAGTTAAGCAGGCATGCCCGCGCCTCGGTTTAAAGGTCCGATATGTCTCCAGTTTGCTTCAAGAACAGGTACTTTATCACGACAAATTGGCCTTGCTTTTGTTGGTCACTTCATTGATCCATCTCCAAGCGTCTTTGCACGGAGAGCCCGATCACAGATCAGTAATCACTACATGCCGCACCGAATTAAGGCTCAAAAGAGCAGTACGAGAGGGGGCACAATACAGCCTCGCGAGTGAATGCGTCTGATCTGTCGACGGGACCCACATTTCTTTATGTACAACGCGATGCCCCATAAATGGCTCCAGGGCCCAGTGCTCCCTAGAGTCCAGGAGAGCCGGGGCTCCCACCAACGCGACCAGTACGGTGGGGCGGGGAAAGGGGGATCGGAGGGCTGTGCGCTTATGTACTTAGACGTGTCAGACGGTCATTCGTCACAGGTCGATTGTCAGCTTCGATAGCCGTCTGCGGATTGAATGGCTCTGCTTGGACCGGCCTCGCCTCCCGCGGCCATCGCGGTCCCCGGCCCTGCGCGGCGCCCTGCTCGCCCCGCCCGCCACACAAGCAGAGCTGCCTGGCCTATGGCACCCCAGGGGGGGAGAAAAAAAAATCACAAATATTTCAGGAAGCGAAAAAGAAAGTTCTTCGTCTGGTTTCGAGAAGAAACGAAACCCAAACGGGGTGCTTCGTGTCCTCTTTAATAGATGCTAAATGCATGCAATTTTTCCTGATGTTTCATGGTGTTCGAATCTGAGCAGTTGACGGTTTTTTTCCCTTCACTCTCTCTTCCACCGCGCTAGGTCAGGGGAGGTTAGGGACACCCGAGGGGGCTGCGCCACGCCCCGCCCCGCCACGCCTCGCCAGTAATTAGCTGGAGGAGGTTGTCGCTGCCGCGATACTCAGCGTAGCGTGGCGTGGCGCGGCGGGGTGGGGCGGGGAAGCTCGCGGAGTGCGATGTACGACACGGCTGGATGGTGCTCCCCGGAAAAACAGGTACGACCGGAACACCCCGCAGCCCCAGTGGCGGTTGTAGAACTGTATGCGTGCGTGCGTAAGAGAGACAGGTATAGCCATCAGAAGAGCAGGCTGGGCTGAACTGAACAGTCCACGCGGGCACGAGATATACCAAATTCAAGAGACTTCTTTGTATTGTAATGCATCGTATACTTGGGCGTTAGAGTCAGTCCGATCTGGGCCGCGCGTGGAGGAGCAGAAAGCCGGTGGCACCCACCAGCCAGAGGACCATCTCTAGCAGCTCAGCGCACCGCAGCGCAGCCCCCTACCAACCTAATTATACCAATTAAGATCCGACGGCGAGATAGGGGGAGGATGCAGGGGTTTCGCGCTGTGTGCCACTCGGTGCTCGTCTCTCTCTCTCTCTCTCTCTCTCTCTCTCTCTCACCCCCTATTCTCCGACTGCCTTTCATTACTGTTGCTCAAACGCTCCGAGGCGTGGCGCAGAAAATATCATAGCAGCTCCCGACTTTACAACACACACACACACACACACACACACACACACACACACACACACACAAAATAGTAACGGACGCCTGTCAATATTAATAATGACACAATAGATTGCAAATATCACGGCCCCACTCCACTTTGGCGAAAGATCATTACGCTAATCAGTTTTGCGATACTGTACAAGGCGGTGGGCGCGGCATCGATTCAATAATGCGATTACTATTCTGGTACGCGACGAATCACCAGCCTGGGAGGCGGCCCAGCCCGCCCGCCCGCGCTGCGTTCGGAGTGATGGGGAATTCAGCGACTCACCTTCCGGAGCTGTCGACTGGCCTGCTCGGGCCGGGGTGATCTTGAGCTCAGCAAAAAGTTATTTCACCTGCAACAGTTAAAAATAAAACCGTACCGTTTTAAACAACGTCAAACTCACAATACAAAACTCAAATCGTTTTCTTACTGATACTACAACTCTCATTATTGCAAGAACATTGTTATCGTTGATTATTCATCTATACATGCCCCCCCCCCCTCTCCGGCGGCGAGGGAAACACGGGACTGTCACCGACTACAAGCCGCGGAGTCACGTTATCTCTCCATCCATCGTTAATCTGCTTGTACGCGTAAATTACGAGCGCTGCTGATTGAATGGAGACAACCGCTTTAAGCTCACTTAAGTCGTTGCACTACCGCTGTGCTGCTGCTGCTAGCCAGCTCACGTCACCGGGTATCGCATCTGTCGTCGTGTCGAGCGAGCGGGCAAGCGGCAGACCCGCCCCGCCCCTCCCCTCTCGGCAGAGACCTATAGGAGCACCATTACTGGAGAGCGCTCGATCTCTGCACACGTCAAACAGGAAGGAGCTGTGGATATAAATTTCGATTGAGCCCCCACCACCATCCCCTCTCTTTTCGTGGGACAAGCCGGCTATTGGGGCAATGGGTTCGTTCGCAAATAACGAAACACGTGTTACGTGTTTTTAAACCTGTGGGCTGCGTCTGTGTTCAGATCTTGCAAGATGAAATTTTTAAGCTTGTGCAGTGACAACTGTGTGTCTACAATTATTAGACAAGATAAAAATTTGTCCTGCAGGAAAAACAAATTTGGCACATTTCAGGATTCAAAATTTCATCTTTCACGCATTTCGCCACACATTGTCCAATGCAATTTAGAGAGTAACACCCCTCACCTCTCAAAACGATGCGACCAATGAAAAACTAATGGGCGCTAGAGGTTTTTCAGTTAGGACATAAAGTAACCATTACAGTTCCCAGTGCGCCCCATCCGCCCCCGAAACGTTGTGAAGCGATATCGCAAGCTTTGGACCGAAAAATTGTCTATTTAAAAAGTTTTCTATTCAAGTGTTATGGAAGAAAACGTCTCAAATCTTGAAAGTGTTCTACTTTCAATTTCTCAAGTACTTTGCGAGTGTTCACATTCCCAGTTAAGTACCTTGCACCTACAAAACATGTGCTTCCAGTTCAACATTGCAGATGAACATGAACCAAATGAAATGTCAATGTGCAGTGCGACACTCGCCGCCCCGCGCCAGTCCCGGAGACTTAAATGCGCGGTAGACTTAGAGAACACTAGGCTGGCCAAGATGGCTCTCCCTTCGGACTGGGATTGGTCCATTTTCACATTAAGGCACATCTATTATTGAGCCTATGATTTAACATAGGAGCGTGACCAAATGGTGGTCATACTGCACTCAACGTTTTACAAATGCAAATTGATCGAATTAATTGTAATTTTACAAGTAGCCCGTTTTGCAAAACCAAGATGAAATGTTTGCATTCTAAATTAACAAAAGTATTCGTCACTTTTGTCAGTACGAAATCATTCGCAGAATTATTTGTTATAATTATTGACGACAAATGACGAAATCAATCAACAGCACAAACGGCCATATACACTTGGTACAATGAACACTGTTGACAGAGTAACGAAAAAACGACACGCCGAGAGCGCAGGGCCAGGCAACGTGTAATACATTTATGTGCGTCATCAAAAACGTGCGTAATCAAGGACTCAAACGCGTTCAAAGCAAAAAGAGCAGCCGTGGAGGCAGCGGCCAAATGGCATGGGCCGCGGACTGGGGCTCACCGCGGGGGGACCAGCGAGGAAAATGACAAAATCTCCGTGCGCAAAGCCCTAATGGGCTGCTCTAGCCGAGGCTCTAGCCGAGGCTCTAGCCGCCTCCACCTCCGTTAATGAGACCGAGACCGGCGCCAGGCTGCCTGCAAGGAGGAGCAGCCAACGTTGAGAGCACTAGTGCCACACTGGAAAAAGCAACGTGCATCAGTAACACATTGCACAATCCTGAACTATGCTCTTTTGCTTCCGCAAAAAAATCCTGTATTTCGTATAACGTATACAGTAAATAATTGTTTGCAAATAGTGTACAAGCGCATGTATGCAGTAAAATACCAAATAACTTTGGCATAGCACACCCTTGATTCCCGTAGGATTTTTCGAGTGTGTACCAGCAAAATGTACTCAGAATTAGCATGCGCCCGTTACGCACACACACACTGTTTACCTTCAATACTTGAGGGCATACGCCAAGTACTTGAAAACATCACACTTGGTTCCCTACAGCGCATCGGAGAGTCGCGCCCTGCTCTCCACCACCTCACGGCTCCCGCCTCACGCTCCCGCGTGGTGCATGATACAATTATTCCGGCGCGGCAGCGCATCGGACGTGCAACGGGTGCCTTTGGGTACCTCTATGGGTACCTCTATAGGTACCTCCAGGTACCTCCAGGTACCTCCAGGTACCTCTGGGTGCCTCTAGGTACCTCTGGGCAGCGACGCGGCCCCTCTGCGATTTCTATTCCAGAGAGAGAGGAGGGGTCGGCTAATGCTAATGTGCATGTGTATCTGGAAGGCGGTGGCGCGGACGGCGGCGCAATTATCATTTAGCCCCCTGCATCAGCCCCGCATCAGTCATGGGCGCGGTAACGCGGCGGCGGCGCGCGCAAGACGGGGAATTACATTATTATTATTGATCCAAATGGAATAATTTGTCGTGTGAGATGATATATACATACATGGGGAATTGAAACGAACGTGCACCGCCGGCCCGCGCGGGCTCGTGCGTCGTCGACCTGATTAAGGTGTCGGCCGTACGCACCGACAGAGAGTGTGGGGAGGGGGGAGGGAGGGGGGAGCAAGGCGACGCAGGCGGGAACACGGCTACTGAGATGTAAACTGCGGGAGGCAGCGCAGAGGGTGCGCAGGGAGCGGGGGGGAAGGACCAGCGGTGGAAGATGAATGCGTCCACTCGGTACAAAACTGATAAAAAGCGACTTCACCACCAGCGGGGAGTCGCACGAAAAAGAGAGGCAGAGAGTCAGAGAGAGGAGGAGGAGGAGGAGGAGGAGGAGGAGGAGAGGTAGAGGAGAGAGGACGGGAGGGCCTCAGGAGGCTCCAGCGAGGACGTTCGGTTGACGTGAGAAGACCGGAGGGCCACACAGCGCAGAGTGGTGGAGGGTGAAGAGAGGGCAGGCAGAGAGGGGGAGGGAGAGAGAGAGAGAGAGAGAGAGAAGGGGGAGGGAGAGGGGTTGCGGACACGTGACCCCTGGCCTGGCTCATGTTTCAACGCATTGCGCATGGAGCCCAAGAGCGTCCAGGTCCAGTCCGGCTGGACCCAACGCGGAGAAAAATGTTCTCTTTTTTTCCGTGTTTTGTTCTTTAAAATAGAAATTCAGTGCAAAATGCGCACTAGCAGGCAACTCTCTCCCTTACTGAAGAGAGGAGGTAGACGTAAAGAGAGAGAAAGAGAGAGAAAGAGAAAAGGAAGGGGGCGAAAGAGAAAGCGAAGCGGGCATCTCTGCCGAAGGGTCATTTGGGGCGCGTAACGACCTCCAGCCTCATAAACCGCGCCTTCGGGCCTCGGCGGCCGGGTTTTCGGCGCGGGCGGGCCTCCCGCCTCCCAGCCCCTCTGCTCGCAGAGTGGGGCCACATTCGGGCCGAAACGGGCGACGGTCACGAGGCCTGCGGGACGCACGGCAACTGCACCCGGGGCGAGGTACTAGGGGAAATAATTATTATCGTCCGCTTTAGGATTTTATTTGCAGAGTGTACCAGTGCAAGCACGGCGTTGCGGAAGGTTATGGTTCGGGGGG